GACTCATAGGCCACTGTGTCTTCTTTACAAACAATTGCTGCTGAAATTAAATCCAAGAGGCTAAAATAAGAATGGATAAGGCTCGCAGGGAGGTAATGAGGGTCAGATGGGATAATCACAATTGGTTGCAAGCACTAACAATATACACAAAAATGTGAAAGGCAAAACAATTCCATCAAGACGTTGGTGCAGCCGCCGGGGAGACTTCAGTGCATGAAAACGTTCAAATTGCATTTTGTCGTTGAAAATATAAAAAAGAGGAACATGATTCAGTCCTTTATCATTCTGGACCACTTGATCATAAGCCTGAGTATTGCATTAGAATATACTTCTGATTTACGAGTGCAGATGGGGATGTTAGTGGTAACCCACAAATAAAACTTAAGTCTAAATGGATGGAAAAGGAAAAAACAAATTCATGAAAGGTATGCATGTAATAAATGAATCTTTGCAACTCCAAACTGGCTCTGCACAAAACACGGGAGGGACTTTGGAGAGCTCTGCCACCCCAGAAATAATTGACATGTCACTGTTGTACAAGTTGTTTTAATATTTCATCCAAAGATATCTGTCAGTTGGGTTTCCGACTGTGGCTCAGTGGATTGGGAAGTCATTGAGGCCTGTCCGCCAGAAGATTGTGACCCGGAAAACTATGACCTACCTAGACCAGACTGTGCACACAAGGCAGCTTTTTCAGATTAGAAACCATGTCCAATAACCTTTCCAGCTCGAGGTAAGCTACAATCAGCTCACATGCCAGTATGTTCTCCCAAAGTCAACAGTTTCTTGATCCACAGGGTCAGCTTGGACCTGTCGCAATCCAGAGTCCTACAGGGGCTGTATAGTGCTTTTCTAGTCTTCTGACAACTCAAAGCGCTTTTACATCGCATGTGTCCAGACTTTTTTGATTGGGTTGGCCCAATTACCCAGAGTGTCAACATACTGCACAAGAAGACTCTGAGATAAAATATCATTTGAATCGAATAAAGTCACTTTTTTCAAAGGCCTACAGAACATTAAAAAATGTTTGACCAAATCTCTTTATGGTCCAGGTGGAGGTCATTTAAATACAGTTTCCATAAAGGTATGATTGATTAGAGGAGCAATCTAATAGAAATTGATAAAATATAGTACAAATAAAACATACAACAAAAATAATAAAAATCAAATAAGAATCAGAAACAAAGTAATAATGTAATCAAATATTTTTTCAAGTATTTTTTTGGTTGATCACCCTAAACGTCAAGGTCAATGAAGGATTGAATAAAGGTTTATATAAGGTCACTCTGCACTCCAGTCACACTGCAAACTGTTTAATGATTGATTTCCCGCATTCCACAATTATTTATGTTCCAACATGGCGCACTTCTCCGTTGCCCTTAATCACATCTCTGAAAGCTGTTTATAATATTAGAATAGCCTCTGGTTATTCCTGATCACTTTTGACATTATTATGATAGCTCTTTCAAGTTTGTCAAGCAAACACAGAACAATTGATCTCTATGACGATCACACTTTTTTTTTTTTTTTTTTGTCTGTTTGCTTTTTGCACACGTAGTTATTATGTAAGCCGGGTCACGTTAGCTTCATTGCACAATGCTACACCATTGAGCTCTGAAGGGCTTTTTTCTCCTCTCAGTTAAGTCCCCTCCAGCAGAGATTTGTGCACTGAGTGATGCTATCCAGCGTTATATAAGATGTACATCCTCTGCTTGAGGACTGTCAAACTGTCAAAAATGACTCAAACTCTAAAACAGAAATGTGTGAACACATTCACTAATACGTAACATCACAAAGTCTAACTCAAATCCTCAGCTCGATGCTCGTTACCCCAGCCCTGCCTCTCCCTGTGCTGCTGACCTACATACTGCAGCATCACAGTTACATAACCTGCTGAGGCTGTTGATCACTGCAGGCCGCGCAGGGCCAACACCCCCCCCCCCCCACAGATACAGCGCCATCACATCACACACACACACGCACACACACGCACACACATTATTTGCTATGAACTTACCAGTTTTCATTAACCTTCTCACACTGTAGTCAAGTGAAATAACGAGTAAGGCATCCCACTATCGTGCAAACATTTAAATGATGTGTGTGGACAAAGGTTGAGACTGAAATTCTAATTAGGTCAAACTAAAATGTCCGGAGTTGTTATCTTAAGGAAAACTGGAAGTAGATAATGTCACGAGTCTGTCTTCCTCAAATGTGTATTAGAAACGCTGCACCCAAACTCTACAAGGCCCGGCTACTAAATGAACTTGATTATAGAAGAAGGTTGAATCTTTGATTAAAAAGTCACTGAAGATCTATGGAACATGTGATGACAGGGGGGTGTGGTGGAGGTGTATGAAAATGTTAATATATATAGGCCGACTGGCATATAGACAAGCCCATTTGCTTGAAGTCCCCTTGTTTTTTTTCTCATAAATGTGTGCTTGATGTATTTGCTAACCTCATACATTCATCACATAAACATGTATGTGTGAGAGAAAGAGACAGAGAGAGAGCTACTGACCTGCTCCCTCAGGCAGCAACAAGAGAGAGCTTCTTTCTGAGTAGTTTGTTCAAGTTTACACTGTGGAGGCATGTGATGTAACCCTCTCTCCCTCCCTCCCTTCTCCCTCACGGCCTTTCACTCTGCATAACCCCACTCTCTCTCTCTCTCTCTCTCTCTCTCTTGCTGTGTTTTTCCTCACCCCCTCCTCCGTCCTCTCCTCACTGACCTACTTTTTCTCTCCTGGCCCGTTTTCACAAGCCTCCACACAATACAAAGCATCTTTAACAGCTCAAACATGAAATGAAAAAAGGGGGATAAGTGGGAACTGGAGATACTTAGAGGGGAGGGAGGGGAGGGAGGGGAGGGGGGGGGGGATATTGTGTAAGAGAGAGAATGAAGAAAGGACAGTGTGATAAAAAGCACTGCAGTTCACCTTGTTATTGCTGGGTGGTGGGTGGCATTGAGGTAAAGAATATTACATTTCTGTCAAACAGAGTTTTAGCTGCTACCACACATCGCTCCTATGTCTCTTGGTTGCAGGAACATGCTACAAGTTTGAGTACACTAGACATGATGTCCATACCTTTTATTTGTGTCTCAAAACGTGTCACACTCTCTTAATGAAATCTGTCAATAAATCTGTTTGTATTTTCAGACCAAAACCAGTGACCAGAGTTCATGAAGACGCCTATATGCTTCCTTCAAAATGTGTAAAATACTGCGTAGCTGCATCTCAGTGATATAATGGCTCTTATGTAACCCTCACCATGGCATACTCAGCCCCATGCATACTTGTTGTTCCCATCGGCTCTTGCTCTATTAATGGGAGGGTCAGAAGGAGGCTGCCACAGTCACCGTTCACAGTCTGACGCAGTTCTCTCCCAAAGCAGTTGCGTAACTCTGTTTTTTGCTTGTTGCCCTCTGATACATTGTGTGATTATTTCCCCCTTCTTTTCTCCAAGTTCAGCACATCCTCTGCAGTTAAGTCTCATGGTGTTGAGCAATCCCGGATTACATCGGGAGCAGAAAGCAGAGTGTGTTCCGTTGCTGATGTTTTAACAGCTCTCTGATGTAACTACTGTCATTGGAGCCAGTTTGCTTCTGCATTTAGCTGACACTAAACTAACTAAACTATCTTAGTGATGATCTTCAATACAACCTGGAACAGCTCTTTAATATCTCAAATAAAGTGCTCTTGTGCTTTTAAAAATATTATTATTATTATTATTATTATTATTTTTTGATAAATTTCTTTTATGATATTTAAGAAAACTACAAGTACAACATGTGACTATAAAGTTATTGCAAAGGTGATAATAAACAGCTGCTTATTTACAGTATCAGTCGATTGTATTTGTTCTGGCTTCTTGTCAAATTTAAGTCATTAACATTTTCTGTCGTTTAAGCTTTCTTTCAGTCACAGCCAACTCCTCTAAAGAGATATGATGCAGTTAAACAGTCAACACCTCAATATACTTGTGAGCTGTTTGGTGGTGGTCAGATAGAGTGGGTTAATCAGTTATTACTGCTGGAGGAGAAATGCAAACTTGGCAATAACACTGTTATCACTACAACTACTCCTTTTTAAATTACACATTATAATAATTCATGGTTATGGATAATCCATTTTTATAACACTGTTATCACTACAACTACCTTTTTACAATACACATGAAAGTAATACATTGTTATGATTAAGACTTTAACTAGAGCGGCTTACTTAGATTTTATTTTTCATTTTAAATGTTCTTCTTATCCTTTAATTGGCTATATTATTCTAAGCTCTATTCATTTAAAATTGTGACTTTCTCTGTCATACTTATAAGAAGATAGAGAAATATTTGGCTATTTATCATAATTAATAAAATGACTGTGTTAACTCTCATATCTAGTCAGTCAGTTTCATGTTTAGTTCATTCACTTTGTAAGGGTTGCTTTTGAGTTTGCATTGGAGTCGTTTTTGTTGTGAGAGGATATCATTTACTTTTTTTAAATCCTGTAAAAGGTCTTTTAGAGTTCTTTTCAATTAATTAATGTCTTAACATTTATTTCTTAATTATTTCCTTTGCTTATGATTGTATGACCTGGCTGATTTATGTTTGTTTTATTATCACTGTCCTTGTAAAGTACTTTGTGACTTCATTTTGAAAAGTGTTCATTAAATAAATATTATTATTATATTGTGAACATATGATATCAGTATTCATATTAAGTGAAGATGATGGATTCTCTCCTGTACTGCTGTACAGAACTGTTTGTGCTGACTTATTTTCCCCCTCAGTAATCTCTGCCGGTAGGCTGCATTTTGTAATGACGTCATGAGCCATTGAAGTTTTTCTGACTGTGCTGGACAACATTGTGTTGCTGTCTGTGAGCTGTGAATCATCTGTTAAGTCTTCTGCTAGAAATAGGCTGGTCTGGATGTGTTTGTGTGCCTTTCATTTTCACTGAGCCTTTAAAAAATACAACTCAAAAAGTTCACATGAGACATACGTGAATTCAACAACCTTTTTATTTTTTCCCCCATTTTGATTCTCAAAAAATCAAAGATGAGGTTTTTTTGTAACCATTTGCATATCCACATGAAGTAGAAAATACATTATCACTTCTGGACAAGCCTTACTCATGATTTTTTTCCATTTTCAAAAAGCCTTTCGACAAACAACAGAGGTTATACGGTAACACAGAGTACAAATGGTGGGGTCAGGGGACAATGGGAAAATACACAGCACAACCAGGAAGAGCATAGCACAAAATGACACAACAAGACAACAAAAAATAAACATAATAATAGCCAAAATGATAACCAAATATAATAGAAAATAACAATATTAATAAAATTATAATAAAATAATGACAGCAGTATACAAGAGATAAAGAGACAATTTTACATTTATACAAAGTGGCCAGAGGCAGGCACCAGGAAGTGAAACAGTTAAACTTGAATGACTGTATGATCTACTGTAGCTAAAACAACTCAGTGCAGACGTGAGTGGAATCATTAAGACATTGGCCAAACTGGGACGAGGGACAACACAAAAAAAGAGGCACCTTATGTAGAGAGCAGCGTTGCCGGTATGCAACTAGAGGGCCACTTCATTTATTAGACAGACAACTGTTGTCTGGAAATGAAGATGTTGAGATTTTATAGGCAAACTAGGCTTGCCTTGTGCTTGTCATGTTTTGCCAACAGCAATGTGTGACTGCAAAGCCTTGACTGATATGCATTTCACTGGCCTTGACCGTTTGACAGCTTTGAGTGTCAAATAGCTCAGATCACCTGAACGAGGCTTTGATCAGATTCATAAACCTGAAAAAGAGTATCTTCCTTTTATTCTTATTTTTTATTTTTTATTTTTTACTGGCTCTCAGTTTTAGTCGAAAGAAAATTTGAGGCATTTCTAAACAAAGAGGGACTGTACAATGTATCTGAACAGGAACAAACATGTCACTTTTAAGTCCACCACTTCCAAATCCAACTGTTCTTTTTTTTTTTTTTTTTTTTTCATTTTTGCCACATTTTCTTCTTAAAATATATATTCCATATATGCAAATTTATGTCACAGTAATATACAATCTAAGTGCTTCAGAAGTGAGGGGAGCTTGTGTGCAGATGTTTAAGAAGGTGTCATATGAAAGTTACTGAGAGGAAGAATGTAACTCTTGGCAAAACAAGGGGAGATGCTAAAGGAAGGATGCGAATTCTTTGGTTAAAGGAATGTTCGCATAATGCCACAGTAAGTGCTGGCCAGCTACTGAGGCTGGTCACAATAATGGAGAATTGAATAATGTTAAAAATGTCTTCAAGGGACGTATCCCAGGCTCCAGCTCTGCAGAGTTACATTCTGTCCCCTCTGTGGTTTATTGACATATTATTTTGATTGAAGGGATTGGTGGAAGGTATGAAAGAGAATAGGAAAAGGGAACAGATGACACAGTGAAGTGTGATGGTGATCTCACATCCAAACTACACCTCACAAAGGTATTCTAGTCCTTGAAAGGTAGCGATGTGAATCAGAGTTGTAGTTGTCTATAAACTGTACACAACAATAAGGTGGCATAAAACTGCTCCTATTTGTCCTTAATCGCGCCTCTTATTGCGCCCACTCCTGCTACTGCTGGATCCCTTCTTCCCCACCTCCGTTTTTGCCTCCATCCTCTCATTCATCTGATGCTTGAGCTGCTCTGCAAAGTCAGTGTCATTTTCCGCCTCTTTGCTCTCCCCGTTGGCCTGGGTGCTGTGAGGGTTGCTGGGGAGAGCTAGGTAAGGATGCTGAGGCAGATTGGGAGAGGGGGACATGGAGGTGTTCACGTGTCCCTCCATAAACGCTCCCATTGTTCCATTAGAAAGGGCTCTGTACTTGAGGCGGAGCTTGTGGGGCAGGGCAGTGGCTTTGACCTCTGCTGGGCACTCACTGACAGCTCCTGCTGCCTTCTGGTGATAGCTGCCAATGTCTGAGGAGGATGAGGAGGGTGACTCATCATCAGTGGAGCCTTCCTTGTCAGAGCTACGAGGGTCTCCATCACTGGATGAGGTGTCTTTTGCAGAAGAGTTCTCCTGGTAAAAACCATCGGCTCTAGAGCCTCCCTCATAGGTAAGCACTGGGGGCTCTTCATCCAGTGTGTTGAGGTAGCCGTTGTGCTGTGGGAAGGAAGACTTTCCCTCTTCAGTGTTGTGGATCAGATCGGGGGCAAAGGGGTTCTGGTGGTTCCCTGCATGCTGAAGACTACTTTCATGACCCTGGTAGCTGTATTGCACACGATGGTTCTCACACTGCTGTTGAGCGTTGGCATTGTACCTTTGTTGAAGCTCCTCTGCGGACTCAGCATGATCATTTGTGTATTCATACTGAGGCGAGTCCATGGTCTTTGTCCTCTCCAACTTCTCAGCGACCTCTGTGATGGTCACTGAGCAGTCCGAGAACTTTGTGTTGGAGGTGTGCTGTACAGTTCTGCTCTGCTGGGTCTGCTGGTCCTCTAGCCTCTGGCTCTCCATTGGGTAACAGCCGCTGCTGGAACGATACAGGATGACACTCCTCTGTGCAGAGGGGGCCTGAGGGGCTTGGCTGGAGGCCTCCATGTGGCAATGTTGCTGCTGTTGCTGGTAGTCCATGGCACTTTCAGCCAATTGCGTGTTCTGCTGGTGATCAGTGTGGTTTCCATGGTAAGTCTCACTAGACATCTCATTAGGCATCCCGTTTCTTTCCAGTCTGGCCATCTCCATACTTGAGGGCTCGGTCTTTATGCTGTAGCCCATAGGTTCTGGGCTACAGCCCCTGGAGGAGGCGTCAGACATGTCAGAGACAGAGCCCCGGGGAGAGTAACTGTGGAGCGTGTTGTGGCGCTCTCCACGGCTCGACTGTTCTGTTTCAGAAGAGTCCGAATTCAGCATGACCTGGGAAGCACTGGAGTAGCCGCTGCTAGAGTGGTACGCATGACTGTTCGGGGTGCCATTGGTGCTGCTCCCATTGCTACTACTGTTGGCATTAGCAACACTGTTGGAGATCTGCTGACTTTTCTCCATGTAGGAAGCTGTGCTGATGAGGCCAAAGCGCAACTTGAGCTGTAAGAGTTCAGTTTTGAGTCGAACATTCTCCTCGTTCAGTGCCATGACACGGTTCTCTAGCACCATGTCATTCAGGCGACGTTTTTCTCTTGAGCGCTTAGCTGCTTCATTGTTCTTTCTCCGCTTTTCCCAATAGGAAGCATCTTTCTTCTCATCGGATATAAACTCTCTCTTGCGACGGCAGCTCAAATTAGCTTTTGAACCTTTAGACTGACGGCCGATCCGTGCTTCAGGATCATCAGGATTAGGAGATGGGAGGCTTCCGCTGTAGGAGGATAAGTTGTCTATCTCCATGGCGTTTTTGTTGTTGGTAGATGGTAAGTGTAAACTCAGACTTTCCATTCTGGTGGCCAGAGTGTAACTCTAGCAAAGGGCAAGGGGTTGAAGAGGAAAAAATGTAATTTCTTTTTCACTTAGGAGTTTGACTTATGTCCCAGGATCAGAAAAAACTTGTTGATGAGGTATTTGTGCTCCTTGAAGGGATCGCCTCATTGATTTCCTTTTCTTGTTTTCTAAATGAAAATGTTCAAGTGTCCAAACTAGCCAAGAAGATTAAAAAGAGGTGGAACTCCACAAACACCTCAGACATTGAACTAGTGTTTTGAACAAGAAACCAAAAAATACAAGATTGTATTTTAGGCCAAACGTCTTTGCCTCAAAGCAGTCTCGCTGGAGGTGATTTAGAGTTTGTCTGCGTCTTCCGCAATCTTTAGTTGAGCTGTGATGTCTGTCTTCAGAGGAAGTATGTCAGGAGGACTACTTTGCTGATCCCTGAGGATACAGATTCAGTTCTGCTCTTTGCTGACCACTATGTAGAAGAGAAAAAGACAAAAGGAGGGAGTTAGATGATATGTAAAACCACTGCAGGCAAGAAAATACATTACTCTTCAATCAATTTAAATCAGATGTATGGACTGTGTTACTAAGCAAAAATGTGGCTGTAATATCTATGGCTTTAGAACAACACATCGTCGGTATAGCACAGTGCATCCTGTGCAAAAAAAATAATCTATGATGACATAACCCCAAAAGTTATACAATGCGCTTCCTTCCTGGACTTTGTTTCCTTGAATTAAGACGAAAAAGGACGGTGAGACGCAAAGTCTGAGAAGCAGCACATGAAAGAGTACAGCTGTGGCTGTGGCTAAACATGCGGTATTTGCTGCTTCTGCAGAGCTCTTATGTAAGACAGGTTACTGTCAAAGTCGCATAGCGAGGTCTGAGGCAAGCTGACCTAGTGCCAGCCCTGCAGAGACTGGCAGAAGAAGGACGAAAAATATACGGGGACTCATTTCATCAGTGCATCATCCCACTCTATGTTTATTAGTGCATTCGTTGTATGGTTTGTGAGGAGAAAAGCATTTGTGACTAAATGACTAAAATCTGAATTCTCAATGCTGGATTGAATCAAAAGAAACGCATCGTACTCATTGAGGATTGGCTGGGATGGGCTCATGGGAGCAGAAACACTTCTCTGTTGTTTTGTCTGTTTCTGTGGGGGAGGGGCGACTTCACAGCAGCAATGTCGCAGTTTCTCTGCTAGCCGTCAAACTGTCTGAGATTACACAACAGCACAAGCTGCTGAACTTCCCTATTCAGTGTCAACATCATTGCTCAAAAGGAAGCCTTGCCCACTTACATGCACCATAAAATGAAACAATGCTGAATGCAGCACAACAACAGATCATGAGTTCAGTGTTATGTAATAACTAGACGGCGCTGCTTTTGTCTCAGGTCTGGATTATTCTGGTTCTCTCATTGCACCACATCACACAGTTAAAACAAAGTCATCAACAACACATCATTACACAAACCCCTTGAGTCAACAAACATGAAAACCTCTTTTGATGACACACAGAGTGGGAATGTGAGAATCTAGGTCAGTGTGCCTGTGGGTAAAAATGACTCCTTTCGTGTTGATTTCACTGCAAACTCTGAAATAATAAACTTTGATCATCATAAAGTTTCCTTTATGAAGCAACTTTAAATATGGTGAACTTTGAATCTTGAATGTTTAAACCAAACAAGAAGCCCAACTATGTACATTACCTGTTTTTACTTCAGAAACTCTAAAAAAAAAAAAAAAATGAGCTAAAGTATCACCACCAACTCAATGCCACATAACCATGTATCCTAAGGTGTGGCATCCCCAGCCAAGTAACTGAAACTCTGTTACATAATCTAAAATTCACAAAACCACCACTGTGACCTTGAAACAGTCTGCTCTGGATAATTACTCATTAATTAATCCTCTTCTGTTGAGTTGTAACTCAAGGGCAAAGTCTGGGTGTAAAATGTTATATGCTTCGCAGTCTATTTCTCACAATCCCGCCCCTCTGTTGCCACACCAAGAGTTTTACCACTTCTTGGTTGTCTCTTGTTTAAGAAACTCGAGTAAAGCTTCTTTCAACAGGGTGGGATTTGGACTCAACCACCAACAGATGTGGAAAAATGTAGCGCCAACCGCGCTCCCTCCCCTCCCCTCTCTCTCTCTCTCTCTTTTCGGAGAAAAAAAAATCCCCCACCCTGTGCGCGTGAAACAAAGGCGGATGGGGAGGAAGCATGCATACGTCTGCGCTGTCCCACTGACCTAGAAACGACGCTAAGCAGTAAACACTCCTCCTGTCTTTGACGGTGCGCCATAAAATAGGTCAGTGGGACTGCAAGGGAGGGAGGGCAGGAGAGGGAGAGAGAGAGAGAGTATTAGAGTGCACTCTAAAAATAGAGCGACAGAAAGAGGTGAGGGAGGGAGGAAGCAGAAAGGGTTGGGTTGTCATGAGGAATTTCAGTTGTTGGAAACAAGAGGAATTTTACAGAGTCTACAGCGGCAGGAAGAAAACAGAGGAACGAAATACGTCATCTGCCTCAAAATCTTTTTTTTTTTATGAAAAGCCCCGGTGATTTTCAAGCAACATTAAATCCGGTTCGCTCTAAAAAACAACTAAAAAAACCCTCCGACACCCCTGACATAAAATGCATTAGTTGCAGATGAAAAACAATAGTGGGAGATAGGGAGATGGCCCTGACGTCAGAGCACACACCCATCGCTGCAGCCAAATTCACGCATAACAGGCTCTCTCTCTGAGGACTGCAGGGGGAGGGGCTGCTGGTGTTGCTCGTAACGTACGTGCCCTGAATTTCTCTTGTTGCAGGGCAAGGCTTGTGTAACATATGCATATAACATAGCGGCACACGCTACAGGTTACTGGCTCTCCTCTTTTACTATGATGCTGTGTCTTTAGCACTATGAATAAAAAGGACATTGTGCAAGTGGCTCTTTGTTCAGCTTCATTTTTTTTTTTTTTTTTTTAAATTCCTATAATAAAAAAAAAATTGCAGCCAATGTAAGCAGTTGTTCTCTGTATCTTTGGCAGTGGAAACAGCTCTGACAGATTTCCCACAAAGCACTTGCTGGTTAGGGAGGAAAGCTTCACTTTTGACCTCTACTGAGGCAAGTGTGAGTTAAACGCATGGCATCCTCTCCCCCTCCTCCATCTTTTAAGTGATCCAACACCACACACGTGAAGGGGCCCCAGCAAGAAAGCCTCCATTTTGCCCCACGGCTTTGTATCAGGAAAGAAAACTACGAGACAGGAATTCAGACATTCCAGGTCAGTTTTGATGCTTGTGTCTGAGAGCCAACACTTCCATCAAATCATAATTCACACTCCAATGTTTCCTGTATATTAGTTATAAATCACTTCATCTTACAGATGAATGCAAACGTGGGAGACAGGGTAACAAATGTTTTGAAAATTGAATCCATTAAGTGAAGTTATTATAACTCTTGACATGGTTTCACCAGTACTTGATCAGCTGCTTACACATGACAAAGATATACCAGTTCAAACATGGGAAAATAAGCTGTAGTTACTGGACTCTGTTTGAGTCACTGGTCTGAAATTCCTCAGAGCTAAAAGATCGGGTGACTAAAGTAATCCACTGCTTGACCTGTATACCTCAAGTGTCTCGTAGCCCAGATTCAGGTCTGACCTATATTTAAAGATTTGGCTGGGACAGAGCAATGCAGATGACTCTGAAAGCAGACCAGCTGGCAGCAGGCGGACTAAGAGCTCACCAGTACCCTGCCTCGCTTTGCCAGACAGGATTTTCCATGCATTGCATCACATCCTGAATGATCATTTGTTATTCTAATTTTGTCCCAGCAAGACCTTGAGGCAAGTTGTGTGTCAGACATAAAAAGCTACTTTAATCTGGGTCAAACTTCATTCTGGTTTTTTTCTGTCCCATGTGTTATGTTGAGGAACATAACTTAACAAGTTAAATATAGCTCATTGACATTGAGCAGCAGTATCACATGATTGAAATGGGATACCCTCTCTCCTTAGGATTACCTGTCTAAACTATGGTAAAAAAATAATAAAAAAAAGTAGGACAGTGTATCTAAAATTAAGTTTTAAATAACGGGGATAGAGCACAGTGTGAACAGGAATCAATTACAGGCCTCTCTGTCCCAGGAGGGAGCTGCTGTTTATTGCCTTTCCCTGCTGCGTGTTGGTTATGTCATACTCCCTCACTCCAAAGCGCTGTTTTAATTCAACACATTTTTAAGTACAAAAAAAAACACCTAGGGACCCATGTTGAGTAGAAATCATCATTTTTTTCAGTTTTTCCTCATATAAATAGGAACATCTAAAAAATATGTGTGATGTTACCTGATGACAGAAAAAAAATGTTACACATCTGGGAAAAAAAAACGATGAGCATGAAAAAAAAATGTTATTTTGTAGATAACTAGCAGTTACAGTACATTTCCTGCCATGGGCCCACTTCTGCTGTTCTCACATGATTTAAAAAAAAAAAATAACCTTGGTTATATGACCATTTAAAAAGGCCTTTTTCCCCATTCAATCTCAATTTACCTTCCATTCAGTCCTATTCATTAAAATAAATAACCACATCTAAATGTTATCCAATATCCATGCATTCTTTTGAATCCATTGAACAACCAAAATTATTAATCAATATCCAAGTAACAAGAGTGAACTAGTGACCTATAAAAACAGCAGCACGCCACGTGCAGGAGCTAATGTAGTAGGCTATGTCTGCATTAACCAGACAACACAGACCAAGCAGTGCTGCCCCCATTCCCTTGAAAACACCACCATGAGGGGAATAACCTCGCCTTGACATTGAGCACTTAATGTGGGGATTTGCTAACCACGTTTTTCCTATCATACTTTGCGTTTCACGTCAGAATAAAGGCGAAAAATGCAGATAAACCGGTAAAAAAAAAAAAATGTTGAATGTGACAAAAACAGCCGCAACCATGTCAAAGTCACGGAGGATCTGCCGGCAGAGCTGAGAGTCACCATGTGAACAATAACCAGCCATAGACATTACGCTCCCCTTTAGTACACACAGTCCAAACATGAAAACATATCAGATAAATCACCTATAGAATTAAAAAACATGTAAATACAAAGTAACCTTCAGCTCAGTCAAAACATTACCTTTATATGTCCTGGAGGAGGAAGGGGAAGAAAAAATCAGGCTTCCCGGACACAAAAGCCGAGTCTCGCTCCTTGTGTCTTCCTTTAATTCCGCGCAAAGAAAGCTTTCCAAAAAGGACAAAAAGTTTCCTCTCCTGTTCCTGTCGTTGCTCGATCAGTTGTGGTTGAGTCAGTGGGTCGGGTGGATTGCTGTTTCCGTCTCTTGGCTCGGGCTGGATGTGTGTGGTACGATGCTGGACACTTTGCTCTAGTTTCTCGGCTCCCTTTCTAGAAATATGTGTTAGTAGGTCAGTGGTTGCATAACAGCTCTTAGGCTGCCTAGTCACGTTTTTGTCCTCTATCCCTCCGCGCGAGACTCTCCCTCTTTCTCTCTCTCTCTTTCTCTCTCTCTCTCTCTCTCTCCCTCTCTCTCACACTTTGTGTGTTATATGACTTTCTCCGTTTATTCTTCTTCACCCCTCCGTCTATACGTCCTTCTCTCCCTCACAGGGTAATGCCATGTCTTCTAGGGGATTGGTTAAGTTTATACCAAGGGCACGTCTGTGGTTTATGCAAGCACAATGTAACAACATGTAACAGATAGATAGATAGATAGATAGATAGATAGATAGATAGATAGATAGATAGATAGATAGATAGACAGACAGATAGATAGATAGATAGATAGATAGACAGATAGATAGACAGATAGATAGATAGACAGACAGATAGATAGATAGATAGATAGATAGATAGATAGATAGATAGATAGACAGACAGATAGATAGATAGATAGATAGAAGATTACACAGGACGATATGAATAGCCTACAGGCTGCAGACCAATAGTGTTTAACTAACCAGTGCTTGTAATGGCTGACAGAAGAATTGATCCATTTTTTTTACTTTTACTTTTATCATTGTGAAAACATTATCTGTGATTTGTGTTTCATATTAGGCCATACCTTCTTTATAAATTAGATTTTTATTTTTTACTGCACCAATTTTTTTTTTTTTTAATGAATGCGGACTCTCTCTCATCTGACTAATGCTAACAAAAGGAAAAATAAGAAATACCAATAATAAACAAGTTACTATATATTATTCATCTTTTAAATTCAGGATTTAACTTAAATAGATGTGTATTATCCCCCTTATAGTTTTTCTATTGTCCCGCAACACATCATCAACATGTTTCATGAGCTGTTTACATCATCCACGTTTTACAAAACCCCATTTTCTCACTAACAACCCCTCCCCCTGCTTTCCCTTTCACTACACACAGACAGACAGACAAACAGACAGACAGACAGACAGACACACACACACACACACACACACACACACACACACACACACACACACACACACACACACACACACACACACACCATCATTTCTATAGACCCCGTTGGGTAAACGGTGGCCTTGAACTTGTCTAGCCCAACCACCACCAGTCTTCAGTGTTATTTCCACCAACCCCCAACATGCTCCTCCATCTCTCTGCATGCAGGCAATCCCTTGGCAACAGTGGTGTAGTGGTGCCTGCCTAGCAACCAGAAAACCATCCTGTCTTGTATGGCTATAAAGCATGAGGTTTGTAGACTGAATGCTGGAAATGCATTGTCTGCATTTTTAGGTCTTGAAGGCAGCTGCACAACGTCACATTGAGTTTTGCTGAGGTCTTTTAATTTGAACTATAAAGCTAAATGATCATTTTTGCATTGTTCTTTTAAGAATAAGGACGTTTACTTTTAAGGTGCAGTGCTGTTCCTCCAACAGAGACACAACCTTACATGTTCCTCATGCGTGCATGTTGTTGTAGTGTGCGCACAACAGAGAGAAGAGGACCTCTGTAGTAACACTGCAACAATGAATGAATGAACGAATGAGACTCTTGAACCATGCTGCCGGGGACATTTGGCGCCATCTGGTGTTGATTAAAAAAATACTGAAAATGGAAATATCCTACTCGTGAATGTGGTAATAACCAAAAACATCCAGCTGAATGCAACATAATCCTTGATGGGATATAGCACAGTGCATCCACTGCGGTTTTCTGACTCCCCACCATGTTCAGACTTTTTTTCTTCATCCGGAAACCTCTTCTGACTGCAGACTTGTACCCTTTCCAGGTGCTAATGTATTCTGAACTTGTATCCTTCACTTCCATATGGGCCAATCAGTCTCCACTGCAGCTGCTTCAGTGCTAAAAATAGCTCTCATACTGCTGACGTGATAGATGACTCATGCAGAGTCTCTCTCCTCTCCCTGCATCCATACACCTCCCCTTTCTCCCTGGCACTGTCCTACACCCCACTGTCCCAGCTTATTTAAGTGACCTTAGTTCTCGGAAAAAAAAGATGTGTGGTAGGCTACTTACACCAGGATGGTGTTTAAACTTCAAATGATTTATCGAAGGAAGATTGACTATTGAATTCAAATATTAGGAGTTTAGCAGAAAATGAGACTGTTACATATTCTTGTGCAGTGCGTCTCCTTACTGCACTCATCATGTATTCATCTAGGTTAGTTTTACCTATATATGATGCAAAATGCAGTCAGAACTGCTGCAACCTCTGCCTCTTATATGTTGCTAGCTGTATCTTGAATGAAAATTAAACAGTAGTGTAAGTACCATCAACCATATTAAGTTATATTCATTTGTTTATTTGTTATGATACCCATTAGCTGTACTCTAGAGATCAGCTATTCTTCCTGGGGCCCACCATACAACACTCACCAAATATATTGTATATTGTATGCTCCACCATTACAGTTTAAATGAGAATTGTCTATTATCTAAAGTATGCCATTTGCTATAAATGTTCATCACTCATCATATAAAATATATCTTTATTTCAAATCCAGTACACATAACTATCATTTTAAACAAAGACAAAGGTATGTAGCGTGATAAGATGGCTTAGAAAAAAACCAAACACAGAAATAGCAAACAACACGTAAAGATTATTCCAGAAAAGGTGTCAAAGGTATTTTCTTTCAACTTTAGTGTTCTTTGAGACAACATGTATTTATTATTATTTTTTACGTCATTGTATATCTACAATGGTATTGCTATGGTAAAATTGATTTTCAATATTTGTGTCGAAAAGCCTTGAAAATGTGCTTTGTCCAAAAGAAGAAAATAATGGCCTTTACCCACATCAGTGAACATTGAAAGATTGAGGTGTTACATAAACTTTTCATCATGTGCTCTGAGTTGTATCTCTAACATGACATTGCTGTTTAAATTACATGACAGTGTTTTAAAAAGAGTACAGAGCTCTATTAATCGTCAGGAAAAATCAACACAAGTACCCTTACATAACTCCCCCTGAGCTTATCATGAATTGGTGTTATTGTAGTAATGTGCTGATCATCACAGAACAGTCAGGCTCAGTGAAACATGTTTGTGGTAACACTGGGGCAGGGCCTATCTGGGGCATTAAGCACTGCACTCCATTTGACCATTTGTTAGGAAAGATGTGGTGTGAAATCTGTCTCTTAATTTAACTCTTTCCATGAACCTCTTGTGCTCAGGATCTTAGATCCTAGTGAGCACCTGCTGAGAGAAGAGCTTCTTGAGTTGAGCCACTTCTTGAGACAGACAGCTGATCTGAGATCTGAGATTGTCCTCTGTTGAAAGATTGGTGTCCTTTGAGTTCTGCAGAGAGTTATATAATCCAGAGGACAGACTTTGATACTGCAGCCCAGGTCTAGCACAGACCTCCTCCCTGGACCACTGAGCCAGGTTCTGTGTCTGACTGACCCAACCCAACCGCTGTTGGTTCTTCTCCTGGATGTTTGGTCCCACAGTGGCTATGGGTGGTCCACTGTGTCTGCTATCAGAGGATGGAGACAGCTCCCCTCCAGGGCCCTTGAAGCGGAGTTTATGCGGGAGGCTCCTCAACCCCTCGGATGGGTCTTGTCTGTTTACATACTGGCTTTCTTTGATTTCAGGGGAGCATATGTGGGAGCTGTAGCCATGTTGCTCCCCTACTAGCTCCATTGGAGAAGGTCCACCTTGCTCACTCAGTGTGTCATCCAAAAACATAGAGTGAGCAATAACTTTTGAGGGAGATGAAGTTGAGACACCCAACTCTGATACACTATGACCTGAAAGAGGCCTGGTTTTCCACAGGCCATTAATTGATTGCTGCTGCGGAGGTTGCGGATGGATGCTGCTCGTGCTGGCTATGGGCTGTGTGTTAAGGCGTGATGATCCATCAGTGTGAGGCTGGTAGACATGGGTTGTATTGAGGGTTGCATGGACGGGTGAAGACAGTGGTAGGATGGACACATCAGATGAGTCTTTTACCAGGCCGAAGCGAAACTTGAGGGCCAAGAGCTCAGCCCTTAGGCGGGCATTGTCCTCCAGCAGGCCCAGCACTCGATTCTCCAGCACCATGTCATTGGCTCTTCGCTTCTCCCTGGATCTCTTTGCAGCTTCATTGTTTTTTCGCCTCTTGTCCCAGTAACCCTCATCTTTCTTCTCCTCAGAGATAAACTCCCGTTTGCGACGAGCATTGTTGCCATTGTCTTCATCGCAGCTGCTACCTGACTTAGCTTCAGTGTTGGCAAGGCTGTCTTTGTGTTTCAGGGCAAAGGTGTGACCCAGGAGGGTCTGGGCCAGCTGGCTTGTAGAGGTCAGAATGGAAACAGCCTCATCAGTGAAGGACCTGGCTTCTCCCAAAGGCCTGGACTCGTGTCCCTCCACAGCAAGCAGAGAGGGCAAAGCCAGGTCCTGGATCATGCCCCCTGCATTCTGAGCTGTCATGTTTCAACACTCCGAGGGAGCTCCCAACGGAAGGTGGGTCGATTGGTGTGAAGCGTATAGTAATGGCACCACCTAGTGGCAAAAAAGGAGAAGTACATGAATTACGGTGAACGTGTGTTTATAGAATACATAAACATTAAACGACGTATTGTTAATTGGTGGAGGGTCTGAAGTATTTTACAGCAATACAATGTCTTTGAATAATCACAGAAGCTATACATGAAAAATGAATTAGCCTGAACAAGAAACGCTATATAAGGATAACCTAAAACTAACATACAGATTACTAATATAATCTATATATTTGATTGCCGGTTGTGATTATGAATCATTTACCTCCAAGTTTTGGCATTTCAATAGTTATCAATAGGCCTACCAGAATGCGTTGATTAAACCTAGATAGCCTAATGATGAACCACGAATAGTTCACAAGTTCAATTATGTTCTATCCAATATAAGTTATAAAATAAATAGCCGAAGTAAGCCGTGAAACTTTCTTCAGAAGTTGGCTATCTAATTTGACATAACTTAACATATCCTCTTGAATGATAAAACGATAATACAATCAGTAAATAGTCTCAAAATAAAGTAGCCTGCATCTTACTTACCAAATCAAACAGCTTCTGAGAGCTTCAAAATCTTCTTAGACAGAGAGGGAACACGTGCTACTCCACAGGACGTCTGGATGTTTCTGCTACTGAAAAGCTCCGCATCTCTCTCTCTCTCTCTCTCTCCCTCTCTCTCTCTCTCTCTCTCTCTCTTTCTCTCTTTCTCTCTCTCTCTCTCCCTCTCTCTCTCTCTTTCTCTCTTTCTCTCTCTCTCTCTCTCTCTCTTTCTCTCTCTATCTCCCTCTCTCTCCCTCTCTCTCTCTCTCTCTCTCTCTCGCTCTCTCTCTCTCTCTTTCTCTCTCTCTCTCTCTCATGTCTGGGCCCGCTCATCGGTTCAGTTTGATCCTCACCCTAGGTGACCCACCCGCCCGCCCCTCAGACTTCCTTCTACAGGAATGAAGTCTACTGAACCAGCGGAGACGCACACAGTAAAACACAGAGGAGCTTCCAAAAAAAAAATCATAGCATGTTCTTTAAATGTTAGGCTACAAAGGCACATCATTTGCGAGCGACCAGGCTGCGTTAGGCTATAAAAAAGGAACACAGCCTTGAATAGTAACATTACAATAAGTCTACTTAGTGAATATAAAAAACAAAATATATATTAAAATAACGTTGAACATTTTTTACACGGAAATAGCCAACAGGCTACTTACCACAATGTCACTTTTAACCTACTGTATGTGTCAAAAAGTGTTAGTCAGATAAACAGCCAGTGATAGCTGGCACAGAGATTGGCAGAAACTGTGTGGCCCTTAGGGGCTCCTTCAACCAGAGTTCACAGGTTGGATAAAAATGATTTCCTTGCAAGGCAAAATTGACAAATTGACAAAATTGACATAATGGCTGACTGAGACCTGAAACAGAGAGAGTTTATACCCATATTATCTAAGGCTGGGGTTATAGTGGTGGGTTTTGAAGGTATGCTACTCTTTTATCCATAATATGCCCATTTATCCATCAAAAACAAATAGACCTATTGAATTTTGCAAAGGTCGACTATCGATAATCACTTTCTTTTACATCACAGTGTTAGTGAGGTCATCCACTTTACAAAAGTCATGTGTGCGCAGCACAGGGGTCGGTGGCTTAAGTTGTCCTCAGTTGCCCTGCGCAGGTGACTTCCCATAACAAGTAGGCAGGTTCTGGGTACATGGAAATATCCCATGTGTCTGTGCCATCTGTGTTTCTCAGAAAAACACCAGTTGTTCTTGGTTATACTTTTATTGCCATCGTTAGATTTCAAATGTAATGCCGCTCACTTAGTACTCAGTTTTTTTCTCTTTTTGGAGACTGTTGACCTCACTGTTTGGAAAAAAGAAAACAATTAATGTGTTAGTGCACCTGTGGGCTAAATTATAAATTGTGTTACCCTCTATGTTAGAGAAGAACATAAAGAATCACAGCTGAACAGAGAGTGAGCAATGCCGGTTGATAGTACGGTATGACTAAAAAAGAGCTCTTATGTAATGCTCAGAGCGAGAGAGAGAGAGAGAGAGAGAGAGAGAGAGAGAGAGAGAGAGCATTTGAGGACTGTTCAGTGGTGAAAGTTCACAAGGGGTGAGGAGGACAGAGAAAAAAGACACATTTTTGTTCCCAGAGCAATCTGCATGCCTATGAAAACCCTTTACAGTGGATCTCTCTGTATCTGTTTCAATCTATTGGTTCATTCAAGTCCACAGTTAACTTCTCATTCTTGAATTTGTGCAGATTATTGTTGACCCGTTACTGTTAGCTTGACATCACAGGTTTCAACATGTTGCCAACATTAAGTGCAATAGAAGTTCATGGGAATGTTAGACTTTACAGATATCTGGTTGTAAAAAAAAAAAAGTACTTGAGAAATTGAAGACATAAATCAGATATAATTGTCAGCAATGGAAATCGTTTTAAAGTTTCATAACAATTCTTCAGATGGTGGTGAGTTACTTAAGTCTGTACCAAAGTGAAGGTTTGGCTGACATGATCTGCCAGGTCATGTATGTTTGTTAATCCTTGATTATTATGATCATAAGTCCATGTACAACATAACAATGAGAATGGCCTTTTTACCTGCTCTTTTGTAATATTAAAAAACAAGCAGTAAGGTCTTTTACCTGCTTTTTGTAAAGTGTCTCAAGATTTTTTATATCTATTTTTTAGTATCTATTTTTTGTACATTCTTAATTTTTTATTTTTTTATTTAAATTGTACTGTGTTCACTTTTTGTCTGCAATCTTTGCTCTTTGCTGCTGTAACAATGTAAATTTCCCCTTTGTGAGATAAATAAAGGATTATCTTATCTTATCTTATCTTATAACACTTGTTATGAGTTGACGCTATGCAAAGTTCTAGACTGCTAGAGCCAGTATTTTCTCATTGTCAACGGTTAAAATGGCTATGCAACATCTCTTAAAATATTCTTAATCTAGGGCAATGAAAAACACAACAATTCCTAAATGAAGATAATCGTAATAGACGCCTCTTTATCTTAGACAATGATTCTTCTAATGCAGTGATTTCTTTGGTATCAGAGTGCTAACCATACAATCAAAATTGTAGGCTTGAATCCTCCCTTGAATCAAACCCAGCTTTACAAAGTTTCATCTGAGGTTTTCCTATCTTTAAAGCATGTTTAGGTGTAGAAAATGTGTTTTTTTTTTACAACATCAGTAACCTTTAAATAGTTTATAATACTTCCTGTAAAATGGGACTTGCAGCAGGTAGGATGATTTCCTTGTCTGTTCGTTTTTTCTCTATGATCACCGCTCACCACATGTCAAAAGCCACATCTCTGACTGGGCACATTTATTTCATGCCATGATCATCTCTTTGAAGTTTTTAAGCTTGACATCAGCGTTGTTTTGCTGTGGCTGCTTCAGGTGTGATGAGTGATGATTTGTAAAATGTTTTTTTGTAATCTGCTACAAATAATTCTGGACATCTAAGTTACTGCCAAAAAAAACAATATTGTGCAATACCCCCGACCATGATTTCCAGCTCTCTAAAGGTACACTATTATTTCCACCATTACAAGTGCTGTGGAGCAATGTCTTATTGAAACTTTAAGGACAACAGTAGAAGCTTTATTTACTAAATATAGGCATTTCTAAATGTGTTGCAGAAAGATTTCAGAGCAGTCAGTGATAATAGATGTATTTGTTTTTATCTTTATTGGTATGGGTGTGAATGTTATATAATACTTTGTACCCTGGAGGCTTTACATACTTCTCATATAGATTATACCAAAGGTCAGCATGAAAAGGTAAATGTGAGTGTTATTGTGCTTGTTCAAAAGAATGTAGGTGTGCTAGGATAAATGACTCAATCCTCGTTCTTCGTATGGCTGTTTCAGTGGTCAGACCATATGTTAGAATGGGATCCAGGTAAGCTTTAGTTTATGGCTAAATTGTGTGGATAAATTAGAGGCCACACTCTGAGAAGTAACTACCAAAGTCAGTTTGTTATTAACCTCATATACTTTTCAGCATGAGAGACAGTTTTACCACTGTTTCTTAGGAGAAGCTTTATCAGAATGTATCCTGACATCACATCAATTCAAACACGAGTAGAAAGTCTGTCTTATAAACATTGATGATGCAGCAGCAGTTTTAAACAACTTTTGCATTTTCTGCATTTTTTTTTTCTCAACATAGAATATTTTAGGCCTCTGCAGCTTTGATTTGACCATTCATATGTTAAAACACTCATTAAAAGTCCCCCAAGTGTATTTATAAAACATTGCAGAACCATTTACAGAAAGGTTAAGGGCTAGTTGAGATAGTCTGTGAACAAGGATACTTAATGTACAGAATTACAAATATGTGAAGGAGTAGTTTCATATTCATGTGTTAATTTCTAATCTCAAAAGTGCAAAAAAAGGGATTGATGGTGTAAATGTAGAGTCGGCAGCAGCCCCATACAACCTTTTGTGTGTTCACTCAAGTTCAAATCAGGTGACTCAGCTCACACCCCTCCCTCCCTTGTTCTCCCCTGTTCACTCTCTCTCTCTCTCTATCCTTTTTACATCACTCGATCCACTTGGACCCACAGTCGGCAGCGTCAGTGTGGCAGCCGCTTTCACCACTCTAATCCTCATCCTGCTTTTGGACAGCGAGCCAAGATCCCCATTATGTAGGTTGTATAATTGCAAACAGTCATCTACACAAAGTTGCTGTACAAGAAATGACATATGTAATAAATGTGCTGGGAGTTATTCTTCTGAACAAGCTTATTTACACCTATAAATCCTCACCTCTCATACCTCCAGGAGCAACACCATGCTTGGCTCTCTCCATGCAAGTCCAAATGTAAATACATTAAAAATCTAAGTTGAAAGACTTGTATCAGTGCTGTCCTAAGTAGCTTGGTAAATAATGCAGAGAAAATCAATTTATAGATATTCACTGGCAATGGAGAATAAGAAGCCCTTTGATATTAATGCTACAGTGTAGTGTATAGTGAACAGTGTCTGGAAGTGCATTTCTCTGAGACTGTGTGTGACAGATGATTGGACAGAAGTAGGCCTGCTGCATCAAAGATGTTCCTGATCTCAGTACCTCTGTTGTTCTGCTGGGTTCACTGCTGCCTGTCACTGGATGTTACAGCACGTCTGTGCCTGCAGGACAAGAGAGCAATACAATGTTTAAAGGAAGTCAAAGTTAGACCTGTTGCAGCTAATAACGTGGTGGGTGCTGAAAATGTTGCCTTTATTATGAAATCCATAGCAGTAGCTGTAACTTAAAATATAATAGGCTTTATATAATTGTATTTATTTTATTTTTTATTTTACCTTTATTGTACCAGGCAAGAATTGCTTGAGATCAAATGACCTCTTTTTCCAGCAAGGCCTGGCCAAAATGGCAGCAGCAAAAAAGAAATATAAGACAAACCCAAAAAGAAAGCACAGACATGAGAAAAAGAGACAAATACAGTCCAGAAGAAGAAGAAGAAGAAGAAGAAGAAGAAGAAGAAGAAGGAGAAGGAGGAGGAGGAGGAGGAGGAGGACGAGATCATGTTAAACAAATACAAAACACAACAGTGCACCACAATACACACTAAAAGAACAATTATGTGATGATGATAAAATACTCTGCAGTGAAACATTTGCACACTCCAAAATTAGCCATTAAAAAACTTGTGAGCCGAGCTTTAAAATCATTAATAGTGATGAGTTCCTGCAATTTGAGTGTTTTTTGAAGACTGTTCCATGCGGAGGGAGCAGAGTACCTGAAGGCCCTCTTCCCAAACTCAGATCGAGTTCTGGGGACTGGCGTAGATAGAAAGTCCAGAGAGCGCAAACTGTATGATGGATTTGATTTAAAAGTGAGTGATCATATTTTAGGTACAATGCTGTTGCCGATTGGACCCCATGGTGATGTCTTCATGTACTCGAAGGGGGGAAGTGAAGCTGAGAGCGCGATAGGATCCTCCCTGACTGAATATAGATGCCAGTGGTGGTGGGGATAAGCAAGGTTGAGGGATGAGCTTAGGAGATGGACATGGACACTGATGAGATGATTGGAGGTGACCGGGGTAGAGGAGGATGGCAATGATCAGACTGAAATGTCAAACTGACACTATAGCAGAGAGGGGAACAGATTCAGAATTTGACAGCAACAGGATGATAGGTCACCGGGTCAATCATCTGATCACAGAGGCAGTAAGGGACAGAGAAGGAGAGAGATAAAGAGAGCCATATGAATGAATGATGACTTAATGGATGAATGAACAGTCTTCCTGCTTCATTACTCATTGAACAACTAGGCTACTAAATTAGGAAATGATGTAACTGAGTTCGATACAATGCACAGATACATTCACTTTTGCAGAATGTTTATACAAATCTAAATAGATTTATTATATGAATTTGAAAAACGTGTTTTTGCTTCATTTCCATTCCATGTGTTGGTGTGTTGTTACATGGTGTGTTTCGGGGATTCGAGGATAGACCCAATAACAGGACACAGATTTAAAACTCGGGGTAAGGTGGAGAAATAAAAGTTAATTTTAAGGTATACCTAAGAATAGTGGTCAGAAACTGTGGCTGGACATGGCAGAGGAAAGACAGTCAAGGGAAAAAAAGGAACAATGTCCAGGGCTGTGAGACACGCTGAAGATATGCTGGCAGGCAGCAAGAGAGGCAGATAACAAAATATGCTTTATTGTTGTGCTTTTTGTCTTCTACAATGAAGCAGTTAAAAGTACACTCTCAGTAACTTGTGTTCAGAACATTCAGAAAATGAAGCGTGAAAACCTTACCAAGAATTTGTAACTTATCGCTAGGAAGCAAATACATGAAGAACAATCCATTGAATTAAACATTGATATGTTTCTGGAGCTGCTGCCATCAGCCCTTAAATGCCACAAATTTTTTTGTGATTCAGAAAAAAGGCTGTGCAGTAACCTCTCTAGAGGTGAAGTATTATATAAGCGAGGAACAAGGAACCAGGAAGTGGAACTAGAAAGCAGATTTGTTCATGAGTTGTTTTGGGGGCAGAACTCCGTCCTCACATAACCTCTAAATCCCAAAACACTTAGCCTCATTTGCGGCGCTTAAAAACGATGCTGCACTTGGAGCCTCATGACCCTCTTTAGCCTTTCATAAAAGTTTCCTGTGTTTGTGTTTGTGTGTTATGTCTTGTGGTGTGAGCACAGTCTCAGCGTCTGATAGATTGTTCATGGATTATTATATTCTCAGACCTATACTTATCGGGGAAAATTCTGGTTAAATTAAAGTGTTGCTGATGCGTGTGGGCCTCATGGAGATCACAAGCTTAACTTCCCACAAGTCTACAATTGTTTCAGCACAGCCATGTTGGAACATCAGAAGTTAATATTAATCTCTACACCTCCAGATCAGGGTCTGGAGGTGGGTAATTCCCTGCTTTGCATAAAGTAGTAATGAATAGGTTGCCTTCTATTACCCTTTTAAGTCTTCTACTGGGAAACCAGGGAGAGAGTCTTAGAAGGGCACTCTAGTAAAGCCGTGTGTTGCATGTTTATAAAGTTGGGAGTCCTTTCAGTGACAAAATAAGTAATGAAAGGTGAACATCAAGTAAGCAGAGGTCCAGAGTTTTAGTCCCAAGAATGATTCATGTTCCAAAAATATCTTAACACTACTCTACCCATACTGCAACATGTCTTTTCTCATGCCACACTCTCATCATTTGGAAGAACATTTCTGGAGATTATATAGAAACTTTTCTAGAAGGTAAACTGCACAACATGTGACAGCTCTGTAGACCTCAATGAGCATATTGCTTTTGTAGGTAAATATGTTGAAATGTTGTTTGTGTGACTTTAGCGAAACCTCTGTTTCACTGGTTAAGTTCTGTGTAACAGAAATGGCTCTGGTGGTATAAAGAACGCAGACAGAGCCACAATACTGGCACAAACAGTTTTGGGAAGAGGTTGAGCTGTTATTTATTGTACAACATCTGTTATTTTGGATACTGGATGGGTGGTCCGAGGTGGGACCGCAGGGTTCTGGTATCTGGGTTTTCCGTTTCTCCAGTCTTCAGAGTCAGTGTTGCAGAGGTGAGGTCTTGGAGGTGAGCGTTGGAATGTGTTACTCTTGCAGCACAGAAATCTGGAAATAGGAAATTACAAGATTGTTACAGAGAAACTCAAGTTCTCATGCTTATAAAAAAGACTCACTTGAAAATAACAGACAATCTGGCAACAGGTGAACGACTGAGCTGGCTTTTTACTGCTGAGTGTTTGATTGCAGATGAGATGCAGGTGTGCAGGCTTGATTGGTGGCAAGTTGTGCGGATCCACACCCAGGTGCAGAGACACACACACACACACACACACACACACACGCACACGCGCACACACACCATACACACACACGCGCACACACACCATACACACACACACACACACACACACACACACACACACACACACACACACACACACACACACACACACACACACACACCATACACACACACGCACACGCGCACACACACACACACACACACACACACACACACACGCACACACACACACACACACATAATCTTTTTTTACATAAATAATAACATTATTATTATTTGTTTAAAAATGTGTTTCTAAATGTTTTGTCTACTGTGTTTGGTTAGTTGTTTTCCTAGAGGGTTCAGCCTTGTCCATATGTCCATATGTGTGTAAAAGAGAAAGAGGGAGTTCATAATGTGATGACCACCTCCCAACATCTGACATAATCACAATGAATCAGTGAGAACTCACTTACATAAGCAGATTCTTGTCCCGAGCTCACCCTTACTCAGATTACAAACACTGTAAACAAAGCAGCCAACAGCCACCAGTCTGCTCTGGCTTTGGGGCTCATTTAACAAAGACTGCCATCTACAGGCCAAATACGATCACTACATCCTTACTTTCAATGTGGTGCACATGATCCTTTTTACAGCGTGAGAGGTCTTTATTAGAATAATGACAATAAAAACAACAGTTACAATTCTTAAAAACACTCAACAAACACAAACATGCATTCAGTTTATATAAAAGGCTATGTTAATAAATATGTTGCTAATTGTAGATGAACGTAAATAACTGCCAAAGCTGCAAATTATTTACAGTTTTGAATTCTACTGAGAGACACAAAAGCTTAGCTTTTCTTAAATTAAAAACCTAAAACAAACAAACAAAAATAAAGTTAAGTGCCATAAAAAGCAACCTGCTACACTGAATAACTATAGTTACTTTGTGGTTTGTTGTCTATATTACAATACACATTCTTAAAAGTTCTTGTAGAGATAGGCTAAGACAAAGATATCTGATCATCCCAGCAGTTATGCATCCGAGCAATGGTGCCAAGCAGTCATGACTTAGTTCAGCATGCCATGAGATCATACAGGATATTGTATTATAACCCACATTACACACATTTATTTGTAGGTCTTTTATTAGTGTTAATGTTTGCTGTTTATGCCCACTGTGGGTACAGTGTTTGTGTAAGAGGCACATTGTTGCAAATTGATGCTAACTCTACATTGTGGATGTCTTCTTGAACTAGTACTCACAAAGTACTCTTTAAAATGACCAGTTTGATGTTTTAGCCCTTCAGAGTACTGAAATGCTTTGTGAGCAAAGTATCTTTGTGCAGTAGCAAATCTTTAAAGTATAAATGTTAAGTACAAAAGCAACAAAAAAAATCCTTCAAGGAGCATGTGTGTGCTACATTTGACCTCTCATTGTGTTGTCAGTTTTCATGGCCCATATGTCTGTATTGTTAGCCAGTTAGTTGATAATGCTGGGAATATGTTTAGTAAAAACCTGAGAACACAACGTCCCACATAAAACCATACATTTTTTCTGATCCTGGTCAGAATTCAAGTAAAATCAAACTTTAAAAATGTTTTTCAAATTGTTTTAAATGGAAGTGTTTCAAGCATGTGCATCAGGTGTGTCTCTTCATGTGCAGAGCCAGGTGATCAGAGCGGGAGAAGGCCCTCTGGCACAACAGACACTGGTAGGGTTTTTGGCCTGTGTGCTTGCGGTAGTGGCGAGTCAGCTCATCCGAGCGGGCAAATTTCCAGCTGCACCCCTCCCAGGAGCAGTGGTAAGGCTTCTCCCCTGCAGAGGAAACAATAAAGCAGATTCTTATCACCATTCATGAAAATGATTTTGAATTTGCATTCAGCTTTTTTGTTGTTACTCTGGTCTAAAGGGTGTACCTGTGTGGGTGCGGAGGTGAGCCTTGAGATGTGAGCTCTTGGTGTAGGTCTTGCTGCAGCCTGGGTAGTCACAGCTGTGGATGGCGGGCCTCTTTTTCCCTGTGGGCTTCCTTCCACGCTTACCCTCAATGCCACCAGGGGGCAACTGTGGTCCCATCAACGGGGGCAGATGACCAGTTGCCTGACAGTGGGTGTAGTCACAATAAAGGTTGCTATTTTGGTTAAAGTCCGGCAGGTAGCTGTAGTGATGGGGGTCAGAGGTCACAGCATGTGGTGGTATGAACCTGCTGTCAGGGAAGGTCACCATGGAGGGCGGGGCATAGTAAGGGTTAAAGTCACATGATAAGACTTTACTGTGGTTTCCTCCGCTGTGCCTCTCCACACTGCCTAATTGGGAGAAGCCAAAGTAATCTCCATTGGGAACACTTGGAAATGCAGTCAGACCCCTCTGGTCGTCATGATAACCATGGAGGAACAGCTCAGGCTGGACCACTGCTGTGGTCTCAGTAGGGGGCAGAAGCTCCACCATGTGGCCTCCACAGTTCATCTGTGGATGTTCCTGTCCTGGGGGGTCCTTATACATGGGTGCTTCCTGGTAGGCTCTGTTTGGGTCTAACTGTGGGATTTGTTGATCATTGTTTTGCATAGATGGGTTGTGGTCCAGGGATGGGCTGATCCAATCAGACAGCAGGAACTCAATATCCCAGGATGCCTGGCTGTCATCATCAAACACTTCTTCAGTCAGTTTTTGAGAGACATGCAGCTGCTCAGAGCTGCTTGGTGACATTTTGTCACTGAGACGGTCCAGAGGAAGAGAGTTATCCTCAGACTTCCACACCTAGGCGATGTTGGAGAGCATTGAGAATCACAGAGGAATACACAAGGAACACAAATTCTACCAAGTAAATGCTTTTCTTCATTTACATTTCTTTATTATGTCAGCTTAAGTGGGGTTTTTTTGTTTACTTGTCCAATGAAAGTGATGGACAGAATCTTGCTTTTCGTCTTGCTTTCATATAAAATATAACTACCTGGGGCACCAGTAGCCTGGTAGTTAGTACGTGCGCCCCAAGTACAGAGGCTGTAGTCCTTCATGCAGGCAGCCCAGGTTCAAATCCTGTGGCTCCTTTCCTGCATATCATTCCCCACTCTTTCTCTCTCTCTCTTATTGTTGACTCTATCCACTTTCCTATCTCTAAATAAAGGCATAAAAATCCCCAAAATAAAACTTTATCAAAAGTAATAACTTCCTACCAAAGCTACTATGAAGCCTGATCTGTCTGTGCTCTCCAAACTGTCAGTAGAAACACAATCAGGGAACTTTTCACTAAAGAGACTTTAATTTAAAAAGATAAAACATGGTTTGTCTAACTCAGACTAAGTTTAGAATCTCTTGAACTCTCAACACAACTTTACATAAATCAACATAAATCTCCATCATTTACAATGTTAGTACTTTAAAATGTGTATTCTATGGCCAGTATGGACTGCAGGACCAATAACATGACCAATATCACTTTTACTATAAACATAGGCATGTCAGACAGACTTTAAAATATAAAACCTGTTTTTTTAGGATAATACATTAAAACAGCATCAACATCCCTTTCTCTGCAGACCTTCTTCTGATTATGAAGTGTATTACATTTTAAACACTTTTGTCCAAAGTAATGTTCACAGGAAAAAGAGCTACACCATATTAGCTAAAGTTTATAGTTCATTAATTCACAAGAACTCACAACACTTTCAGATAATCAATTTGAAGTTATACGGTGACACTTTTGGAACAGATCTAAACCGGGATATTTGAAACACTTTGGTACCACAGTAAAAGTGGAGGAGTTTTCAAGAAGTAAGATTCCTACATGTCTGACTTTTTACAAACTTCAACACCCACACTCTCAATTATTGTGAGTTTGTTCTGTGGATTTAGTAACACTTAAAGGCAAGATTTTCTGCAGGAAAGTCAATTTTTAAAGGAACCTGCTCTTTGGTGCACCTTTGCAACCAACGAAATACAAAAGAAGGAATTTGCAGTGTTTTTCCTCAACTCTTTGAACCAAGGTAATATGTGGAAATAGCATCTGTAGCAAGTGTTTTTGTAAGGGTTTGAATCTTATATGGAATATGCAGTTAAGCATACAAGACTGCTATGCACAAATAATCTGCACAATAATAAAGACAATACAAGGAAAAGGGTGATGTGACTTTCAGGGGATTCTGGGATATCTGTAACTGTTCAGGTCAACCTATACAGTAGGTCCCCGATCTGCATTTCCTTTAGTCATGTTTTGTTTCATCAGTATGAAGGAATAGAACATTTTTCAACCATATACTCACCTTCATGTTGTCACAGGAGTGAGCGAGGTTAGAGAAGGAGCTGAAGGACGGAAGCACAGCCTGTGTAACAGCCATCAAGTAGCTTGATGTGTCTGTGGATTGACCTCAGAAGCAACAAAAATAAAGTTTCTTTTTTTTTTATCTTTTAAAGGTTCTTTTTACAAGACCATGATATGTACAGCTAACAGAAAGTAAAAAAAAAAACCCAGGTCAGGCTGCTAAACACTTAGTGCTAAAATGCACTGCAGAAGTAGTTCTCTAAAACTGTCCCCTTTTCTCCATTCCTCCCCTGTCTCGTCCCCTATCTCTGTCTCCCCTCGCTTGTCTATCTCTGTCAGCTGCAGATCTAACTTCAAATCTCTCTTTCTCATGTAGGTTTTGACAGTTAGGAGGTGGAGCGTAGACATGACTTACGTCGCTGGCTCCTTTTCTATGTTCCTTAAAAATGGTTCAGTTACAATCACTTAGAAACTCCACTGTCTCGCCTCATAGTTACTGTCTTCCTGGTTGGTGGGTTCCCAAAAAAAACAGCAAAAAAATAAATCTCTGAGAAGATGAATGTGCTGGCATTTCCATGTTGTCTTATTAAATGTATCCTCTTTAGACCCAGACTCCATATTAATAAATATATTTAAAATGTAATGCTAAGTTCAAAGTGTCCACAGTATACTGTCTTATTAAAAAGTAAATCAGCTTGAACATCCGATAAAATAAGAAGTAGTTACACTGAATTGTTTTAGTTTTGAAACTACAATGATCTTGTTTTTTTTAGCCTACCAAGTCATTCAATTGATTTGTACCTTTAATAATGCCCATAGCGGTATTACCATAAAATGAATATACTGAATGGCATTGACAGGAGTTCAAAAGGTTTTAAAGTCCTTTACATTCAGAAAACAATTAAGGAGAGAATAAAATACATCAAAACAAAAATATAAAGAATAAAGTGAGATTTGAGTTGAATAAGGAAAAATATTATAATTAAGACATGACCACAGTTAAAGAGCTGTTACAGTGTATTAGCCTTGGTATGTGACAGAGAACAAATCATCACTCAGACAATGAAAACAACAAGATGTGTTCATCGCTTGAGAGAAAAAAGTCCTCCGGAGAGGAAAGCAGGCACACACAGAAAGGTATCCAAGGCCCTCTGTTCTGTTACCACTTAAAAAGCCTTTATTAGTTCACAGGTAAAGTTAAGATGTGAAGCAAAACCCTCATCATGCAGACATTTGGACCCTTTACACAAATTACCCAATTAAGCTCATGCGAGGCAAAACAAGAAGTCAGGGTAGAACTCATTTCAAAATATTAGATAAAACAAACCATTAAGGTTGAAGTTTTATTCATAATTCCTTGATTTTTAAAACAAGTGTAATAGCAATTAGATATTTTATAATAAAAATAAAAAAACAAATCAATCCAATCCAACTTTATTTGTTAAGCACTTTAATACAACCACAGTTGACCAAAGTGCTGTACAGAAGAATAAATAAAATAACAGCTCACATGAGATCAAAGAAAACTACATGTGAAATACAGAATCAATTTAAAAGACATAAGTAAAATGAATAGGCACGCAAAAAAGAAATCAAATGACTAAATAAAGTCGACGTCTTACTGTGTGTCAAAGGCCAGGGAAAAGAGATGGGTCTTAAGAAGAGAAAACAGGCAGAGAAGAGGCCTGTTTAACATGCTGAGGAATATCGTTCCACAGTTTTGTCAGGGCTCTGCGAATAATAACTTTGAGTAATAAAAAACAATTAAAAGAAATGATAATAAATATCATCATAATGTTGATTCAATTAAACAATTAGTCAAACCACAACATACTAGAAGTTTAATGAAATTCTGCAAAAGCACCCCTAACACTGCAACACATCATGGCCATCCATTATCTAACAAAAGCACACTTTGGCAAACAGGGCAGAGTGTTGGCACATGTACAGAGTAAAACATGTCAAACAAGAAACAGTGTTCTTCAAAAACAAGCTCTGAGTTTATTTTTCAAAGACCTTTTATTAGAGAGAGGTCCGAAGAGACTTTCGATGAGATAACACAATTCAAACAGACCTACGGTATTTAACACAATCCGCACACACATTTACAGGCCTCTGTCTTCTGTGAGTACGTGCGGCCCTGACTTCTGAGAAGAGCTGTGTTGACGGTGATTATGTTCTGGTTGCTGTTTATCTGTTGATTTGAGTAAGAGGCAGGCTGCTGTCTTTATACAGATAATGGACTCCTGACTGCTGCTGATCGTCGATGACTTGCCAACCACGATAAACACTCTCTTTTTTACCTCAGAGAGACATCTACACAAGACTGAAAACTGTGGTAGCCATTTGTACAAAACAGCCCCCTTATGGCTCTGAACACATAAGACAAGTTCATTTTTCACCTTGTGTGTGTGCCAGAGGCAATTTGTTTTCCTTGGAGTAACTTGTGTGAGTATAATGTTAACATAAGACTGAAAACAACAAGGAAAAAAATATGTGTACATAGCTGTAGGCTATGAGTTTTACAAGGGAGACTAAAGGCCCTTTAATGAAGATAGAAACCGTGACAGACCAGGAAGCAGTGGATACTGAGCCTTACCATCCCCTCCTGTAGAGGCTAATCACTTTTCTCCATGTTACATTTTTTATCCCTTACATGTTACTATGATATGTTTTCAAACATAAATCATTTAAATATTTTGTTTCACAACATTTCTTTTGGGCTCACTGATATGAGATAAGTTAGACACCTATGTGATCCCCGTGGGGAGAGTGGACAGTTGTAATTATAATAGAAACAACTTACATTTACGATGTGGTATCACCACAGCAGAAATATCAACTTAATAACACGTCTAGTCCTTATAGCTTGACTTTAATAATGTAACTTGAATGAACTCTAAATTCATTATCATAACAGTTGCTTTAATGTTAATATTAGACTGATCTGTCTACTGGTACTGCTACTACTACACACTACTGTTACCAATATTACTGACAAAGAGCTATCTTATTCATTGTTGTTGTTGTTGCTCTGTTTGTCCCTCTCCCTCTGATTAATGATGTTTGCACATTATAATCCGGAAGAAGACATCAGCGCCTTAAAAAGAATAGATGTCTTTGTCTCCATCTAGTGGCCTCATGTAACAGTGTCGGTCTTCACAAGAAAATAAAAAATAAAAGTTACATTAAACAAATTCCTTGTCGATAACATAAAACATAGTTTAGAATCTGTATTTTAAACACCGTGTAGTATTAAAAAAAAACAATAACATCTGAAGTAAGAGAAATTACTTTCACGCTTTTATTACGGAAGTGCTGATGTTTACAGTGTTGCCATAGAAACAGTCGTAGCCTACGTTGTTTTCCACACAAGAAGCAAGGCAACAAAAAGTGTTTGGGTTAACTTTGGGCTTCTGATAAGAGAAGTCTGTGAGTAAGTTTTCTCTCAGTTGTTTGTGATTTTACATTCTTTCTTTTCATGTATCTTCTTACACCTCGAATAGACTCAACTTTTTGTTAACTCTTGATGACCAAGCAACGAATGTATCTCCTGTAACTAAACACTACTTCAGCATTTCTTACTCTTCTAGTGGTTTCTAACAGTGAAGTCAAAATGTATGTATAATATGTGACAGATATTTTAATGACCACTCATTGGAAGTTTGCCCTGCTGCTTTGAATCAGACAATCTCCTGTCATCATATTATTGTTGCCTAATCTACACAAAAGCCTGTTTTAAGATTTTTTTCCCCCATCATAAATGAAAACTAAGCTATATCTCTTTCTTCTTTCAATAGATAAAACATCGAGGATTGTGTGGTAGTGTCCAGGCTGCTGATGGAGGCCTCCGCACAGAGTAGGCCTCGGGTTGGTGGGGGACTGTGGAATAGCCCCAGATCCACCCAGTACAGCAAGGAGACCCAGGACATGCTGAGATGTGAGCTATGTTGTTGACATGGTGTAAAAGTGAAACAAATACAGTCATTTGTGTGGCTATAGATCTTTAAAATGTTTCTCTCTTTATGCTCAGTAATGATGCAGGAATCAAGATTCAACAACCTGCAGACAAAGAAGATCAACGAATGCCTCAAGAGTAAGTTTGAGACTTTATGATGCATTTTTGCTGATTATTTGAGCATTGCATTTTACAAGGATATAAAATATAGGTATAGAGTTTAGAATATGATTAAGTAATAAAATGTAAACTACACTGTTAAGTGCAAAACTCAACAGCTGTATATTGTAGAGTTAACATCTGGCCTTAATTGATTTAATTTGTAGAACACACAAATGAAAAATTTGAGTTCAGGATCTTTGTATTGACTTTCCTGCATCACTTCTCCCAAAACACAATATTTGAAACATTGCAACATTTTCTTTTTTTTTTACATTACCTTGTACTTTCTACTTTCCCCAATAGACGGAGCAGCTCTACCGCTGACCTCTGATCCCAAGTGGTCAGCTTCCCTTCCTCAACCAAAACCCTGTAAATCTGCTCGGAAATGCTTACCAGGCAAGTCTCAGAAGCGGAGTGCTGAATTGTGTCGTTCTGGGGACAACTACACAAGAGAAAAGTTCCGACCTGGTCCTACAAGTAAGTTTTTGAAGCCGATTTACAGTTATCACCAATGCTTCAATGTTTAATGAAATTGGAATATACCCTGCTTTCATCATGGAAATGTTGCCAACCATTTCTGATATTTCTTAATTTTGGATTATGTTCAACAAACTTTGTCTCCAATTCACCCAAGGAGACTTAGAGAAAGAGAAGAGGAGGCTTCAGAGTATTTTTGAAACAGGACAAGAAGAGCCCAAAACTCCAGTGAACCAAAATGTTCCTGCATGTTCCAGCCCAGAGGAGGTTGACCGGTATCAGGAAGGTGAGGCTGACTGCACTGTAACAGATGATGTAGGAAAACAATGCAAGAGTGCGCACCATAATAAAATAAGGTTGTTTGGTTGAATTACTTACTCAAGTTCACACCTAGAACAAAAAAAAGTGCTCTCTTAAACCATTATGTTTTGTAGTGCTGGATGAGATAGAGGACAGAAGACAGTTTCTGGAAGATATGGCCTCTCTGGGAAAAGAGAAGCCGTACATTAACATCATCAACAGTGAGATATCACAGGTAAATAAGCACTGGTTCAGTTTCTGTCTATACTGATGTCCTGGGTTGAAAAAGCTTACACAAAGTTTTGTTTTTTAAACTTAATTGATTTATGATTATGCTCTGTATGTATAATGGGCATTACATAAAATGTGATGGTACAGGTCTATTACTCATTCTTTCTCATGTTCAATTGCACTTCAACCTGTTCTGTGACCCCCAACAACAGAGATTACAGGAACTGGAGTTGATGGACAAGGAAAAGAGAACTGAGAAAGAAGTAATGATCTTTGAGAGGAAAGAGACTGCAGAACAAAAACCATGGACATGAAAGAGACTGGGGTTAACATTCACTGCCACTGACTGGACATGAGGAAATTACCCGGATATCTGGTGCATGCAATAAATCTACAATGAGGTGTGATACAAGTGTGGCAGCTGACCAGCTGCACTCTGCTTTAAATGTATAAGCACAGCAATGAAGACTAAACTGTGATGCCAGGCAATAAAAGCATGAAATTAACAGGACACATTCCCATCTTGCATTAAGTTATTTTATTCCTCTGCCTTCCAGTGTCTTTATAAACCTGCGGCTGTTGTAGGACAAAGGTTAGCTGACAGAAATGTTGCGCTACAGAAGCCTACAGAGGCACGAAGGAGAAACACGGCAGAAATACAAAGACAATGTTAAAGATAAATCAGGAACACAATGAGTAAACATGTCGACATTTACATTAGCTCAAACAAATGATGCTCAACTACATATGCAGTTAAATACATGGCACTTGTACGGTCAAAATTGACTTCTTTTATTTAAATCCACCTATAAGGCAAAAAACAAACAGAAAGGCAGAGTGAAATATAAATTAATGATTGCATATATGTTTTCAACAATTGTTAAAACTTTTGTTGTGCTGCAGCTGTTAAGATACTGTACGTTTGCCTTTTGTAACTTAATGAATGCATGTTTGACCTTTTTATATTTCATGAACTCTCTAACAGACAGTTTAATACTTTCTTCAATGCTTCTCCTCCAGACCTCACCTCCTCTTAACAACCTGATTTGAGTCTTTTTTTTTTTTCCTCATTTAAACGCACATACACACATAAATACTGTATCTTCATCCAACCAAGTCTAAGATGATATGCATTCACACAAGTGACAGTTTCAGCACAACTATCAACAAAAAAAACAAAAAAAACAAAAACACCAACAATCATGACGTAGCAGCTAAAAGAGCTTAGGTATCAATTGTCGAGTGTTTTTCAAGGGTAGATGTTGCAAGGTTTAAAGCAGAGTTCACTTATAAAAAACAACAACTTGACTTTTCAGTACCACAGTATTAAATTAGACATGACATGGAACCTTCTAAGATATCTATCTACTGACCTTTGGAATCAATGAGAAGATAGGTATTCAAGGATAGGTGTAAGTCAGAAGCCGAGTAAAAACATGAAATATTAAAAAGATATCAGGGAAGAATTTTCAACCAGCTTACTTCACTTTTGCTAAGCTTTAATTAAAGATCTGCAGGGCAGAGATGATGTGCAACGCGATGATAGTAAAGCACCAAATCAGAGCATTAAATACTCTGTACTTTGCTTCTTTACAAGGCCAATAAACAAACATGTCAGCTCTTGAAGGTAGGCAACTGAAAATGGTCTTTAAAATTAGTCAGATAGTAGACTGATGGTGGCACTTCAAGTCATGAATGTGACAGTTAAAATGAAAGGAGACCTCATCTTCCTGACCTGATGTCTTTCTTTCCTCACATCCTTTATTGTCGTCAGTCTGCTTAAAAAAACCACAACGATCATATCCTCTTGGAGGAGAACTTGTCCTTTTCTATGGAGATTTCTCTTTACGGGGGCTGTGGCTCTTGCCCGGCTCTGCTTTATGGCTCAGCCTCTTGAGCACCTTGATAGGTTTGAACTTTGCACCCTTTTTCTTCTGCGGCTCAGCCTCAGGGTCCTTATGGAAGTCTGAAGAGGAAGCACATGAGAAAGAAAACAACATTAACATTTTTATTCTAAATTAAAAAAGTAAGCTTTCTATATAAACAAGTTTATCTAAAGAATTTTCATCCAGCTACAATGGAGTCTTCATCCTACCTTTTTTCTTCAGCATGGCCTCCATAAGTTTATCCTCCTCTTCATCCCTGTGAAAGACGGACTGTTAGAAGTTGCAGAGTATTGATGATAGTACGACTCTAGGTCAGTGCAGGGTAACACAGTTCACTGCGTGTCATTACTCACCTCTGTCTGTCCTGGTCCATGTTGTTGACGATTTGGTTTCGTTGTTCAATGATGGTTACAAGCTCAGCCATTAGCTCCTGTTCCCGACTCTTGTCCTCCTCCGACCAGTCTTTCTCTGAGAAACGAGAGTTTATAACGAGTGATTTCATGTTCTTTTCTTTTATTGTTGTTTTGAAAAGTTCTTGATTTATTGATGCCACAGTAAATCATCATTTAAAAGCAAAAATGCTCTACCTAATTCATTTACCTATTCTACTCTGTCAGGGAACCATTACACTGAATATCAGAGTGGTGTACAGAAGGATTACTGAAGGTGTTGAACACATGTTCAATATTCACACTTTTCTGTAAAATATCAAAAAAACAAATTGAACTTTTGACACGTGGCAATACATTTCCAAATAACCTTATCTGGGTATATACTGATTTTCATCCCTTTTTAAAAAAACAAAGTTTTTTATTGTTCCTTCCTTGTCTTCTGATGTGTTCTCCTACATTGCCAACATAGTGCATAAAGGTTCTTCATTGAATTATAGTTTGTTCTCATTTTGCATAATTCTGTACTTAGTATTTCTGCAGAGATAGGGTGTGTAATATAACTTGCAATACATTTGAGCTCATATTACCCAATGCTACGTTGACTATGTGTGCTAACATGATGAGACCAAACATACCTGGTTTATTTAGAAGACACCTCAGCTCATACTCCACGTCTGCTTGCCTCTCTTCCAGGTTCTGCTGCTTTGCTCTGTAGAGTGCAACAATAACACAGTACAATAAATACTGGTAACATCCACTTACAACTGTACTTTAACTGTGTTTTTATTAAGCCTCAACGAGGAAGTTTGCTCATTAGAATTTGTCATCATAAATCAGCACTATTCAAAATTAGTCCACAAGCACCTCGAATGCAACATAAAGGCCCTTTGTCCACCTAGCAGTTTTCCCAATGGCAGCATCATTTTGCAATTGTTTTCACTGAGGAGAATGTTTGCAGTAGAAGTCGGCCGCCCGTAAAAAAACACAGGTCCCAGTTTCCCCTTTCTGGGAATGCTTTTTGTGTGGCCGCCCAGAGCGCTTCAAGTTCAAAATCGTTCAACTTTTCAGAAAGCCACACAACCTCTAGATCACTTCTCATACCCACATCCTCTTTGCTTCGTGTCTGATCCAGAAAAAAAAAATCTAATAAAAAGCAATTGAGCAGTGTCGGTCATAATCAACAGACTGATTGATCATTATCGACGGACATGCAGTGCTTTTATTGGTGCACTAGCACTTCATGCAAGCGCTTCCGAGCGCACTGCCAGCGCTCTTTCTATCCGTAAAAAAAAAGAGGGGTAGACTCTGGGCCTAATTGTGCAAGAATTCAGAATTTTTAGCACAACTGTGCAAAAGTAGTTTGTGTAATATTCATATTTGATAATGAAGTTTTTATTAACTTTATGATATTGATTTGTAGTTAAACAAAATGACAAATCAATATCATCATATGAGAAAAAGCTAGTACTTAAGGAATCTCCTTTCCCCTTTGAATGTATGTAAAAATTGATTACAAATCACAGCGTTTGGAAGGAGCGACTTCTGTGGGGAACAAATTTCTACTGAGCACTGAACTTGCAGCAATGTAAAACTTACGTGTAGACCAGCTCAGCTTCTCGTCGCACTAAAAGGTGTTTCTCGTGGATGAGTGTAAACCAGTCCACCAACAGGTGCTCCTCGTCCTCATCTGAAATCACAAAAGGGGAACACAGAGATAAACAAGTATGATTCTATTCCAATTTCTGTTATAACAGCTTTATCCCTTCCGCCATTTTTTTCAGGATGATGGTTAATATTTCTGTACTTTTGTTTCCAAAGTTTTTAACTTGAAATGTACATTTTAAGTACCAATATCATGTTGCAGATGGTCGCCTTGATGTTTTTGTTATTGGTTTTATTTCTCTCGTCACATTAGCTAGAGAGGATGTTTGTACTTAAGAGTGCATAGTTCACTGGAATCAAATTCCTTGTATGTGTAAACAAACCTTAACAATAAAGCAGATTCTGATCTCACTTATATGTACTGCATGATGAGACAGTCTCTTAACTTTACGATAAATTGCGGGGATCTTTTTTCCTTTGTAATCTCTATTAAAAAAAAATGGGCTATGTTACCATTCGGGTTGTCTCTCAGCTTCTTTTCCAGCTCCACTCCCCTCTTCTCCAGTTCATCCAGCTGCTTCTCCAGCTGACTCATCTCCCCGTGGATGTCCTCTACTGGGATGTACTGATCTGACTGCACCTGGGTAGACGGACAGATCATTTGAGTTCTTCATCTGTGTTTATCTTTTTGTTATTGATATATGCTAAAGCATACAGCAGGAGTGTCTTTGTACCTTGCGTTTGATGAGAGGGAAGCCGTGGCCAGGTGCCGGGGGTCTTGCAGGTCGAGGGCCTTTTGGTGGTTTTGATTTGGATTTAGCAGGGGAAGGAGAAGCTTTCCTGTTGAACGGATTCTCCTTGCAGATCCGCTAAAATGAGAAAAGAAATACATCTATAATATACCATGTACCAGGAAGTATTGCTTTACATTAGGAGTTTGGCCTCTTACCTTGTTGTGTGATTGGCTGCCTCCTGAGGCCAAAGGACTTGGGGTTGTGGGGGGTCGTGGAGGGGGTCCGGTCCCTTTGGTCCCCGTGCTACGACTGGTCTGTGGGGTGGCTGGGGCTGAGCTGGCATTTGATGGCATGGGAGAGGGGTAGGGACTTGTGGAGGGGTGAGGCAGAAGCTCATTTGAAGAGAAGAAAGAAGGGGCTGTAGGTTCACATGGTGAACAGATGGAGGGCTCTGAGACACTCTTGGTGAAGGAGTGTAGCTGGTCGCTGCTGGCACTGCCACCTGACGGGGGGTGAGAGCAGCTGTGGTCGGAGCCAGAGGACAGGCTCTCTGTGCTGAGAGCTGGAGAGGGAGAACAAGAAGAAAGCTGAGGGTGGGAGGAAACTGAAAGGAAAGGTTTCGTAAAAAAACCAAAGAGCAGAGGGAACAGACATGAAACAAGAACTAAGTAGTTGGGACAGATTGGAATTTGATAGTGTGAAGGAAAAACAAAACAAAATCAGCATCCATGAAAAACATCCCACTTCTCTGTCTCACAACATCAGTGTTTATTTTTACTTCACTGATTACTGAGTACTTTCATATTTGACAGGGTCTGTTTATTTGGAGCCCTTATAATAAACATCATTGCTGGGATTTTGGAGTTATTCAAAGTGGAATTGAGAAAGTAAGGGTGTGAAACT